CCAATGTTTATATCCACTAAACTAAGACAATCAAGTGGTGAAAACTTGAAAGCATTAGACCTAATGTCAATTGCTTGCCTCTTCAACTGAACCAAACTTCACAAGTTTATACTATCTGTTCTTCAATTTGAGCAGCTTCAATAGAAGAAGTGCACAAAGCATGCCAAAATGAACACAGAAATTTCGGGATTCTACATCTAGTTCTCAACAGTCTCCTTCTTTCTCAATCATAGTATTACACTTTTGAATGGTAATAGTAGCCATTTCCCTACAAAGAAACATTTGACATTTGCTGACTGAGCAATCAGTACTGCTTTCAGTTGAATTTTTGTTATTGCTCTTTCTATTATTGATAGGGGTTTCCTTCTTAACCTTTTCTTTAAAATAGAGGACACTTATGTTTAACATCAGGAAGAGACGGTTGAAATTTCTAGGGCACATAAGGAGGAAAGAGGGCTTGAAAAATTTAATATTCACAGGGTAGATTGATAGCAAGAGGGACAGAGGAAAACAATGTATGACTTACCTAGCAAGCTTGAGTAAATGGGTGGCAGAATAGGTTTTGTGAGATATAACAAAAAGACAAAATTTATAAAGAACTACAAAGGACAGGAAATTGTGGAGAGCCATTATTGCCAACGTTTTGTAGGGACATGGCACATAGAATAAGTGTGGAACCTCAGCCTCTGATTATGTCTTTACTTTCTCTTTGAGTTAAATGAGAAATCCATTTTAGTTGTTGCCTTCCTTTGAAGTAGTTTAGAATGTCAACATCTTGATTATGTGATTATTTTCTCTTTGACTTACATGAGATATCCATTTTAGCTGCTGCTGTTTAATGAGAGTATGTATAACTGATTAAATTTTCTAGCTGCTTCTTTAGCTACATGATAGATGCTTCATTCCCCTCCAAAACTGCTATTCTCTGAGTGCGTCCTTCATGGTCGCAAACAGATGAAAATTTGAGGCTACCAGGTCAGGATTGGATTATGGATGAGGCAAAGTTATTCAGCCATTAGTTGAGATTGTCTGTCTGGTGTTTACACTGCTTTGAGTTCTGGCATTGTCCTTTTGCCAAAGCACATCACTCATCTTCAAAAGCCACCTAGCTCAAAGAAGCCTTGCACTAAATTGTGACGAAGTGCTCAGGAAGCTTATACTTAACATCAGGAAGAGCTGAAATTTCTGGGACATGTAATGAGAAAGGAGGGCTTGGAGAGTTTGATACTCACAGTGCAGATAGAGGGAAACAGAGACAGGGGAAAGCAATGTGTGATATACCTTGCAGGCTTAAGCAAGTGCATGCCAGAACAGGGTCTGGGAGAAGTAGCAGAAGTACAAGTCACATTGAGAACTACAAGGGATAGGGGAAAGTGGAGAGCCATGATCACCTATGTAAGGGACATGACACATAAAAGAAGAGTAAAACAAAAAAAAAAAACATTGATAGCTGTGATAAACAGCATGACTCTTTTATTACACCTCCCCAAGTGACCATCCTATTCTCTATAGAATCTACTGCCTTAAACATCTTTCAACCAATGTCTATCCAACATGTCCCCTTAATATGCTCTTCTTAATTCCTCCTACCCTCTCCCTTATGCTCTTACAATAATCTCACTCTGTAACCCTCTACCTTGAGTGGCTCTTGGATTTGTATTGAGTGAGCTTATATAAAAAATATAAATAAAACATTGTTCACTATTGGGCTTCTTTTCCAAATAGTCACTATTGAGATTGTTCCATTAGTGCACAAGCACATGAGGGCCCTCCTTGAAGAATATAGCATCAAGCAATTGGTGCTAAACTTTCAGTTCTGCAACAAAAGCATCATCCATATGAAACTGCTTCCTGGTTAAATGGTACATAACAGGATCAAATGGATGATTCTCCAAAGGAGTCAAGTCAGGACTATTTGGTGGATGGAGTGATACAACCCAACCATATCACTGGTGCCTTAATTTTGTTAGATTGACATGTCAGGACTTTTTTTTTTTTTTATTAACGTCCACTCAATAGAATGCTCAAGAGCCACTCGAGGTAGAAAGTTATGGAATGAGGTGCATGATATGAATGTAAAAGAAGGTGGTTAGAAGTGAGGATTATGAGGATAACTAAGACAAATAACAATTAAACCTCGATTTGAAGTGGTTAAAGTTGTAGCATTCAGGAATGCATCCTCACAGAAGTTTGTTTCACAAAAGTAGCACTTCTTGGGTAAAAGCTAACTGAGTGGAACTTCCTCCTTACAATTGGAATACGGAGAATATGAATGTGATTTCATTCCATGAACATAGCATGGCATGTCTTAGCTGTAAAGATCTGAACTGGTGAAACTAAAGAATGGGGCTCATTTAAACATTTGCCATGTAAATAGTGAGAGAGTAGTGGTTGGCTTGTAATGATGTGTCTTTAGTAGGACTTGTCAAGTTATGCCAGTTGTTATTAATTTCATTGTTTAAAGAAAATTTAAAAAAAGGAATACCAACTCAAATACATGTACCAACTAAAAAAATAACATTTATAGTAATAAGAAATAATGTCAAACTAGCAGCATGGCCCGGTGTTGCCGGTGCTTGATTCAAAAATTGTACAACTCATACAGCAATTGCTATCACTTGACTTAAAATATTTTTGCCCTTCCTTGCCTTTAAAGGAGTGCCCTTTTCCATGCTGATGTTGCTACATGCCTTACTTCTTGCCTATCTCACACTGTGAATTTTTTTCTAAGCTCTATACTAAACATTAAATCTGTTATGAAAAAAGAACTAAACAAAATGAACACAAAACGATCAGCTTTAAAAAAGAAACCGTAACTGGAAAAATCGAATGAAAAAAGAATGTTAAAAACAAATACTTTTTCACACCAAACCCAGTTCTGTGGAATCAGAATCAACGTTGAGTTTAAGCAAGCGAATGAGCCAATTGGAGTAAAGTGCCATGCAGATTTAAATTTTTCCCACTTGTGATGAATGCAGCTATCAATTTTTTTTGCATGCTAGTTAACATTCGTGTCAGTCAGCTGTTGGCTCGCACGCTGGTCAATAGAATCTTCCTGTCTATTTGTGGCAGCCAGCTATAGGCTCTCACTCTGGCCAGTAGAAAATGGCTGCAAACTACATGAAAACTGACGTAGAAGCATGAAAAAAATCGATTATTTCTACTATCCATGGGAGTTGGGAAATGCAATGTTGGTCTTGGCCTTCCCACTAACTTGGAGCATGTGCATGTAAATTTTGGTGCCAATTTGTCAAAAATTGTGGCCGTGCATTCGTTAGACATGCACACACATCCTGTCTTTTATAGATAGAGATAAAGAGTCCATTCAAAAAATATCCCTCATATATAAGAGAATATAGTATATCATATTATAAAATTCTATTATAATAGGTAATATCATGTTTTTTTTAAAAAGGTTTGCCCTTTTGCATATGGATTTTGATTTTACTACATTATGAATTTAAAAATTGGTAAGTAGATATTTTCCAGATACCAAACTTTTAAAATTAGAGTGTGGAAGGTTGATGGAGTGGAAGGGGGAAAATTAGCCTTGTAAAAATATTCAATTCATCCACAAAGAAAATAAAATAGAAAAAAAAAGCAGATGAAGTGTGTATCCAAAATTTTTATATTCAAAAATAGTTTGTGTTTTACAAAAATGTTTTTTTTTCCCCAGTTTAGTTTCTTTTTATGAAGACAGTTTTTTTTTGTGCAACATGAGATTCAACACAGAAAGATATCTTAATGACTCCATTTCAATTCTAATTATTACATCTATTTGCTATTAGGACTATCATACCAACTGTCTACTTGATATTTTATCCTTTATTTATTACGGGTGTTCAGATGTAGTAGTAGACACAAAATGCATAAATATTTAACAGAAACTTGACTTAATTTGACATGTGTTACTTGAAGATTATAAATTTTCTAATAACTTAAAAGTTGAAGCTTTGCAGATTAATAATTTGATGTTTTAAATGCTATGTAAATTTTTCACCTTCCTCCATAAAATAAAAGTTAATTAAAATTTTTAAGTATAGATATCAAGACTTATTAATAATTTTCAATGGAAAGATTTTTTTTTTAATTTTGTTTCAAAGTGATTAATTAATAAAATATTTTCTAATAATGTCTGCTAAAATTTGAATCTGTCTAATTTGTTACTTTTATTAAATCTTAATTTATACAGATTTTTTCCTTCACAAATATTAAAAGAGAAAAAAACAAACAGAATTAGATTTAAAGCAAATGAATGGCTATCATACCTAGCCAGGCAAAATAGATGGCTATTTTTTCACCAAAATATTCTCTAATATGGTCCAATGGTTGATACTTGTGCCAACAGCCCCATCGAGCCCAATATTTACAAAGTATTTGCCGAGGATTAAGCCGCATATGTGTCAGGGAATTTTTAGGTATTTCAAATGGTCCCTGAAAAACAAAAATTGCTAGAATAATATACAAGAGAGACAAAAGATTTTTACTTTGACAAACAGAATCACAAAATAATGAAAAAAGTATGTTATAAAACATTTTCCTGGGGTCATTTGGTCCCGATTTTCAAAACATATTGTAAAACAATTGGCAATGCTTATATTATTCATATATTTGTAACAGAGCACTGACCCTGTTCAAACATTTAACTGCATGAAATTGCAGGATGGAGATTTAGAGGGGTTACTAATTGGGTAATAATTATTAAAATTCTTAGAATAGGTTGAATGGTTGAAAAAAAAAAAAAAAAAAATGAAAAAGGAATGAGTTAAGAATTAATTTTTGAACAATAAAATGAATTTAAAAATGGGTCCAATTAACAAGCCAAGATTCAGTAAAATTGAGCAAGACCAAGATTCCCCATCCTATACACTTCCCACCATTAAGAAGACATGATTAATGTCTTGTCCAAATTTTTTGGTCCTTAGAAATTAAAATTGGGGATTGTTTACAATCATACTATCTGTTCAAAACATATATATTACAGAAAAGAGTGGCCCAAATTCTTTTAAACAAAGAAAGAAAGGCAGAAGAAAAAGTTGTATCAGAGATACTGTTTTGTTTTAGTGAGAAAAAAAAGCATACATATGAAAAAAAGAAAAAGAGAGAGAAAATAATAATGCTCCCATGCATTTAATGTCTTCTTCAGTGAAATGAAAAACTTGTTAATTTTAAATACTTTCATTTGTACCCTGTTACTTCTAAATAATGACTTGCATTCATACTTATGATTGTTACTGCAATATTAGGTATCTGTTTCATACCTAAGATCCCAATCTATGGGATTTTGTTTACATTATACAATCCATCCAAAATGCATATATCCCTATAGAAAATTCTTTTAAACAAAGAAGGCATATGAATTTTGTCTTATTTCCAAGGTTGGAGATTGTTTTAGTTGATGCTGTGTGCCCCAAAATACACAATGTATTATGAGTGAACACACAAATACATTGTGCAGACTATACTTTGCCACCAATACCAATATTGTAAGATTTTGGGAAAACTGAATTAACTATCGAGATGACACACCAGCCTCAACTGAGGAGGGAAAAGAAAATTGGATGACCTGGAAGGTCTTGGTCACTCAATGAAGCTAGCAACTGAGAGGAAGAAAAAGAGAAAAAGAGATGGGAGAGAAGAGGGTGTGGGTTATATATTATCTTCATTCTGAAAATAATGCTTACGGTAATATTAAATGTTTCCTTATACAGAAACATTCCACATTCATTGACTGAACAGCTAGTGCTGTTGGCTGAAATTTATGAAATATTTCTCTCAAAACAGTTTTGCAATTTTTAGGTTTCTCAAGTCCAGTAACTGTTACAGCTCTTTCTAGTAAGGACAGGGGTTTCCTTCCTAACTCTTTGTTTGAAGCAGTGTGGAAAGTCACCATTTTGATTATGTCATCATTTTCTCTTCAAGTTAAATGTGCTACCCATTTTAGTTATTGCTGCTGTTGAAAGTTTTCAAGTGTTCTGGTTTTTGGTATTTACTAAGTTTCTTTGTGATTCTGTAGTGCCTATCCATGAGATTTTGATGAAGGATGGTCCTCTCTATGATCTAATTTATGATTCTAATTTAAATCAGGGCCTATAAGTAGCTTAAAAAATTGTATATATTTGATCACTTGTCAAAGAATACAAAGGCAGACATATTTCTAATTTTCTAACAAAGTAAAGAAAGAAATGACATTTGGGAGGGAGAAAAATATTTTTCAAACAAAATGTTGAATATAAGTGACTATTTTTAGAAAATCATATTATAATTCTGCTTGTTCTTCCATTAGTTTGCAAGTTAACATGCACAATATGCCTTGCCATTGCCTCAGCTCAATAATGAACCATTCCATTTTGATTGTGAGGAAAATCAGAAGAAAAAAAATATATCAGCGATACTGTTTAATTTTAGTGAGAAAAAGAAAGCATATGTAAGAAAAAAGATAAGATAGAGGAAATAATAATGCTTCCATGCATTTAATGTCTTCTTCAGTGAAATTAAAAACCTTGTTAATTTTAAATACTTTCATTTGTACCCTGTGACTTTGAAATAATGACCTGCATGCAAACAAGTGATTGTTACTGCAATATTTTGTTAAGATCAAATACTTAACAATGCAACCGGGAAGATTCCACTGGTATTTTATGTTCATGACACTCCCAAGAGTTTCTTCAATAATTAACTTAAGAAAGAAAAGTCATCAAAAAATGAAAATCAGAAAACCATGAAATTTTCCCAGACAACTAGTAAATTATAATTTATAGATCTAATCTCTCCAAAGAGAATTCCACCATTTTGACAAGATGGTCTAATGTAGCTGATCCCTCTTTAGGTTGGTTCTGAATTCACAATTGTATTTCTCATTGGTTATAAGAGTCAATCCTGTTATTTAAGCCATAGCTCGGGGAAGATATGTTCATGCCTTTTCAAAGGACATTAGTGCTAAAAGAGCAAAACAACATCAGAATTTGAAAAAAAAGCACACCAGTAATTACTTTCTGCACAGATAACTATTAGACTATCTGTACATCCACTAATAAATATTTATATGACTAAAATGTGCCAATAAATATTTACATGACTAAAATGCACTAATAGATATTTACGTGACCAAAATGCACTAATAAATATTTACATATACATATATATATATATATATATATATAGAAATGAATTGTAAATGTGAAGAATACAAAAGAATCTGTTATCCTAATGTTCGTAAGTGTTGTTGACAAATACCAAGACAGTTATTTCCACAAAAATACTATCATATATGACCTGGTGTCCCTGCTATGTTTTCTGGAGCTTCTTGATAAGATCCAAAGAAGAATCAGCAATATTGTTGGTATTGATCTGGTGTCTCAACTTCAGCCACTTGCCCACCACTGTAAGTTTGCCTTTCTGTGCCCTATTTTATAAATACTTTCATGGTAACTGTTTGGATGAGCTCTTTGCAATGGTACCTAGACTGCATGAATTTGAGCGCAATGCTAGACTGGCAGTGAGATTGCATCAATTTACAGTTGAGCTAGCTAGATGTAGTCATAACTTCTATGCTAACAGTTTCTTTTCTCACACCTCTCACTTGTGAAACTCCCTTCTGGCTCCATGCTTTCCAGCCAAATTCTGAAAGAATTTAATTGCAATGCCAATCGCTATCTACTGTCTTCCTGAATGCTCTTTTCTCTTTCTACTCATTACTAATGTTTCTGTTCCTAATTCCCCCACACAATGTAACCTCCTTGCATGTTAGTGACTGTACTGTCTTGCTTGGGGTGACACAAAAAAAAAACATTCTTTCCCTAAAACAATTACGGCAATGCATAGTTTAGAGATATCAAACAAAAAAAAAAATGAAAAAAGAAAGGAAAATGTAGAGAGCCATGATCACCTACATCTTGTAGAGAAATAGAATTTAAGGAGGAGGATTTCAAAAATGGAAAATCTGCAGCAACTCAATCAGTTTGATACTCAAGAAAAACAAATAGACTTTCACTGACACAAGGAGTAAGACATTTTTGTTTGCAAGAGCTGCTTTACAATCTGAAATCAATGAAAAAGGAACTGGTACAGAATTAAAATATTAACTTCCTCCTTTCTTATATTTTATACAGAAATAGAAAAATCTTTTTTACAAAAAAGAAAAGAAACAAATTCAACAGAAATCAAAGAACATTTACATCATGCAGCGGATAGGCTCCAATGAAGATTTCTTCCTCAAGAAGTCGTGCAATGCCTATCTCTGCTTTCTTCTTCTTGCCATAAACAGTTGCATTTAGGATCTCCCAAATAACACGGCTTCTTTGGTTGTTGGTGAAGTAGTTTTGTCTGTCCTGGTTACCCAAAAACCTTGAGAAAAAACAGACAATTCCATGTATCAAATCAAAGCAATTTACTAAAATGCAGATTTTGTGCATAAATATTACAAATTAGCATAAATATAATTAATAAATTAGCATAAATATAAATATTAGCATATAGAAAAAAAAACAAATGTATTCTTAAGATGTTTATAAAACTTTTCTTTTGGTAGATGCAAGTTCAGTGAAGATCATTGTAAATCAGAATTTTCCTTTCCAAGGATACATTCATTTTCAAAGACTGATTTCTTGAAGAATTCTGTCTTACTGATAAGTACAGTACAAAAAAAGCAAACTTTGACAAATTTTAGCAAAAAAGCTAAAATCAGCAATTCTGCAAGAACTTAGAAGCTCGATTCAATTACCAGTGTCTCTTAGACAAGTTTTTTTAGCAGGAACATTTAGGGAACCCAGCAAGGATCCAAAATCTTGAAAAGCCAATATGCATTCAACTGCATTACAACTGAATGAGTTTAAAAAAAAACCCAAAAACCGTGGTAAACATACATTAATGCCAGAGCTGACACGTACTACCCGTAAAACCCCATGGACTTGTTGAGTGGGCAAGCATGATTGAGGGCACTGGCAGTGCTTTGTGACCCTAGCTATCTTATCAAGATTTGCTTTTTTTCTATTTACACTTATATATGTTACAAATTAAACTAAGCACAACTGACTATTAAAGGATAACATTTTTCCTTCAAATTTTGACATCATTGTGGGTTTTTTTTTTGTCTAAATCCATGAATTTGTTTTGCTCGTGCTAATTCTCAAAAAAGAATACTATATAAAATTCACTATTCATTATTCATGATGTTGAATGGGCTAAAATTCTTCAGCTGTTTTACAAGAAAAATCTCAAATTGATGATAAAAATTGACGCAGAACATTGATTTATTTAAGATGGAATGATCTATTATGACATGTCTCTAAATTGTATTTAGATACAGTGTAACCTGGATATAAAAGAGTTGTCGGGACCAGAGAAGAAGTCTCTTATATCCGGGTTTCTCTTATATCCGTGTTTGGTCTGTTTTATATACATTAACACAGGCTCTAATTTGGGACCAGAGAAAATCTCTCTTATATCCAGGTCTCTTTTATATCCGGGTCTCTTATATCCGGGATACACTGTATATTGTATTTATTTTCAATTTTTCAAGTTGAATTGCTCACCTATATTGCATATGATCCATTATTGTACATAATAAGATTGCAATAATATTTGTATTTTATATGAATACCAACTTCTGAAAATCGAGATGTAGAGTGGGGGGAGGGGAATATTACATTTGGTGGAGGCCCAACAATACCCTTGCACAAGCACTGATTAATGCCCACTATAAAATATGGTATTAATTATAAAAATTAAAAATTTAGCCTTAGTTATAGGCCTTTAAAAAAATTCATATTAAGAATAGCTTTATAAAAAATCTGGTATTATAGGTTTCTACCTATAATGTATGAATACATTAATACCCATCAACAAAGTTGGTATCAATTATAAAAGTTAAAATAAAAAAAATTCTAAAAATCTTATAATAAAAAATCCAGTTACTGGAATTTCTGGCTCCCATATTGTATTTATTTCTATGCTAGGCCTACTAATGAGATTCTTTCAGATGTCTAATTTGCCAGTGTTCTTCCTTGTCCAGTATTTTCACTTCATTCCACAAGGGCTGATGACTACCCATTTCCCTCCATACTAAATAAGAACTAGAGAATAACTCTAAACATGAGCATTGGAACGAAACCCGTCTACAGTTGTAGATTAAATAAAGGGTTCAGTTCAGAGATCAATAGACACCTGGGGAAGGCCAGAGGACACATCAGATGAAATGTTGTGATAATAACAAAAAAAAAACGAGGACAATAGTCTGAATATATATAGTGTAAATAAAAAATCCAATATTAATAAGTTTCTAAAATCTGGTATCGATTATAAGTTTCTACCTCTAACCTCTTAGTAACCGACAATTCCAAAAATGGGTTGGTGGACATTAAGGGGTTAACTGAAAATTTTATGTGTGGTACTATTAATTTGTTTCCTGTGTAAATCTTGTGAGACAAGAGGTTTTGATAATTGTATGTGGTTGGTTTAGACTAATTTCCTCATTTTTGTTGTGGCTTTGATTCTTCATATTTTGGCCATGTAACGTTTGGCCTTCTTTGGATATCGGTTTGCACTTTGGAACATTATTAAATCTTTTTCTCAGAAAGCACATGCTTCTTATCTCATATATATTATGTTTAGTGACTGAATCTGGATTTATAGGATTACCTTTGCCTGAGCTCTGTGTTGAGCCCATGTACACTACAGGTCAAAGGTTAGGGGGGCCAACCACTGGATTTCAAAGAATTGCTTAAAATTTGAAGGTTACATGTCTTTTTCAAAACTAGCTCATTTCAGGCCAGAGAGACTTTCTCTTCCTCAAGGCTTTTATCACAGTAATAATGAAATTAATAATAATAGTTAACCCATTACTGAATAAAGTTTCCTTAAAATTTTAGTTCTTTTTGCTTGGCCTTGTTGATTAACAGTAATCATAAGGTTGGCAAATTTTGAGTTTTAGGAAACCCCCTCTCTAAAAGATTGGATGCCATGCATTGAGTCAAATAGTTTCAGCATTCCAGTTTAGTAGGAGTTAATTAAACCAAAGAAGGCATGAAACTTACTAATTATTCCCAAACCTTTTGGGTTTTATTGAACTTTGTTGGCATTTCAATCTTATTGAAATTATTATGAGTCTTTTGGAGTAACCCCCTTTGAACAGGCTCCTTAGCATTGTTACAATGATCCCTGTGACTGGCTGAAAAGGAACCAATCAGAACATCCCTTACTAACGCTACTTCATCCTGATCTGCTTGTCATATTTGAATCTTTCTTCCTCCTTCCCACATTGGCTTTCAACAAGTAGTACATATGAAAAAACAGAAAAAACTTCATCTACAAATTTGTGGAATCTTGGATTGTAGCACCCACTACACATGAAGAAATATCTTCTCAATCCTCAGGAAGTCCGGATGCCAAGACATCGCTAACCACCAACACAACAGCAAGGAATCACAAGACCACAAAGAACTGTTAACAGGATGTTTCTTTTCTGTGACAAGTCTGCAAAATACCATTTTTTTGTAACATCATTATTGTAAACCTCTTTTCTTTCTCTTTTTCTCATAAAAGGTTTGAATCTCAAAGGTTTGATTTTATTCTTTTTTCTCACGCCATGTTATGTCACTGAATTATCCTTTTTTTTTCTACAGCTGTAATTAATTACTTATCTTTCCAAACAAACTTATATGAGTGAAATACCAACAATCTCTCTGGCTATACCTGTGTAGCCTCATGGTCACTGCTTGATTTTTCCCCAATTAATAATTTGCACATGCTATTATTATCATCATATCTGCATGGTGTACTGACCAAGTTATCTAAGTACAGTATTTGTCTATATGCTTGAAATGCGATAAAGCAAAAACTAGAAAATTAAATCTGAATTAACCATGTCTAATAATTAATTTGTTTTAATTCAAATGTTATTTCTAAACATTGGTTTTGGATAGTTAATTCTTTGGCAATTTGCATTATAAGGAAACAGTGTATATACGCATACGTGTGTTTCTGTGTGTATATATATATATATATATATATATATATATATATAATATAATATAAAATAAAAGGCTCAAACACTAATATTCCATGGCTATAATTTATTACATTGGAATTATAATCATGATCCAATTCATCAGACCTACAAATTCAAAAGCCTTTTATATAATATTCTTACTCTGTCCTGGACATTGAGTTCTACCTGGATTCTATCCTCTTGGGAATTTATATATATATATATATATAAAAAAGCACATGCCTAAGTTTGTCAAGTTACTATTGTGCAATGACATATCAAAAATCTTGGAGTAGCAGCATATATATATATATATATATATATATATATATATATATATATATATATATATGTGAAATATATAGAAAATAGGAAGGAACAGGTTAGGTAAATAGTCCAAAGTTCATTAGTATTTTTGTTATTATTTTTTAAAAATAGTGCTCGATACAAAATTAGAGCATAAATATAATTATTTATTTAAAAATATGATTCCAAATCGCTACATAAGAGGTCTCATGTTTCAAAACAAGAGCCGAAAACTTCAATATAATCCTTTTTAAATTAAATTGAGTTGAAATTAAAAAGGGCTCCGTTCCATCTTCAAGCGAATTTTTTGTTGGAATAACAATATATCTGAAATTTACTTGTTTTAAAAGTTGAAATCAAAATCACCAGGGTAACAGCTAAAACGAATTGTCTAAAATGGGTAAAAAGTGTGGGGTGTTAATGATGAGTGGCGGTACAGGGATACTTTCAAGGTGTCAAGTCAGGGGAAGGTGAGGGTGTCAAAAATGAAACGAAGATGTATTAAGCTTTCGTCAAGTTGGCTTGTCTATGGTATTTATTTATTTATTTTATTTTTTTTATTATGAAACAATTGTGCATATAAAAAAAAAACTTTCGTGGCGTTTATTTTTTAACAACTTCATAAAATTGGTTATCTTTTATGTAAGGTATTTAAACTACTAATTTGGGCTATGGATTATGAAGGGTGTTATGTTGTATGCAAGTTTGTAGTTAATAATTTCTACTAGGGAAAATGATGATTGGGAAATTTGTTAAACCCATTTATATAATTTTTTTTTTTTTTTTTTCAAACCAAAAATCTGATGATGCCTACAAAAACCGTTAACTCGTGTCTATTATTTAATAGATTATTATTATTTCCAAGTTTAATAATGTGCAATTTTTCATGGAGGCACAAAGGGCATGGGTCATAATATAAACAAAATATTCTAGCCTTCACTATCAAATTTTCCATTTAACTTTTGAAGGTCTTATTTGTTTCCTTCAAGTGTTAAATGGAATTTTATAGTGAAGTCTAGTTTCTTTTGTTTATATTATGAAAGGAGCCTTTTGCTGCCTCCATCTATCTTTAAAATTATTCTTCTAAATGGACCCAATGTATATCAAATGGTGCTAGGGCTCTCTGTGGATGAAATAGTGCATTGGTATACCACAGAGTTAAAAAAAAAAAAATTTTCTAACTTGTTTAAGTCTTCTGGGTTTCTACAGTTTCATAATTTTTAGAAATTATCATCTGATTTAAGTGTACAAGTTTTTATTAATACTGTTTTTGCATAGGGGTTTGTTCAAGATCTTAATAAAAGTTTTTTATTATGCTTTCAAGAAATCAAGCAGCTGTAGCTCAATTTTTTTTGTTCTTATATGAATATATTACTTCCCTTACTATTGGTGGGGAAAAATAAAATTAATTAAGCTAAAATTTCTGTCCTAGTTTAATACAACCCTTTGGTTGAACGAAGGGTGTACCATATGATATTTCTTTTTCATTTTTGACACCCCATGTCAGTGCAATTTTTTCTGAAAGTTAATGTTAGCATTTTATAACCACTATTTTTTAGGGCACCCATTTTAGACAAGCTATTGTTGTTTTGGTGAATATTTCAACTTTAAAACAGTTAAATTTCAGATATTTTCTATTGAACAAAAAATATGTTGAAGATGGAATGGAGATTTTTAATTTCAACTCAATTTAATTTAAAGGATTATATTGGTTTTTTTCTTGTTTTGAAACATGAGACCTCTTATGTAGCGATTTGGAATCATATTTTAAATAAATAATTATATATATATATATATATATATGTATATATTATAGTGAATATACATAATATCCAATGTTAAAGTTTTCATGTAAATGTGCAATCTTCAGGTGAAAAATACTCACTGACCATTAGTGGTCAATATTCTGCACCTGAAGATTGCACATTTGCATGAAACTCTGGGTTATGCTATCAATGTTGGATATTGTATATATTTACTAATATATACTTAATAGCTCTGTTATATAACATTGAGCACTGTTTTTCTAATACCTGAGAAAGAAATATATGTGTACATGCAAGTATATGTATGTATATGTATGTTTTTTTTATCATATCTATATATCTATAACATAAAGGCATTTTTTTCCATGCCATCTCATTTTTTTATAAACAGCAAAAAAAAAGTGTTGAGGAGAGGAGGTCAGAAAGAGCCCTAAAAATGCAAGTTTCAGAAAATATTTATCCTCATCATACTTTTGACATCCGGCATTGGCCTCATCAGCTATAAGCACCAAGCAGATGCAGAATTTCACCTTAGATCTTTGTTTGAAAAGTCAACAACACTTGTCCTTGTCCAAGATTTATTTGAGAATGTTTGAAGAGGCGGCATTAATATGTTGCACATGAAAGACTGAAACAAGACACACCCTAAATTATGATTGGGAACAAATAAGACAGTTTACAAATACTCACCTGTCTATTTTACTAACTTTAAATGCACAAGTGTAATAAGACTTTGGTTGATTTGGTACATTTTGTTCCATGATGTTTGGAATTTTCAATGTTTGGAGCACCTCAGCAGACCAGTTAACATTTTGACTAGGTTGGACCTGAAAAGAGAAATTGAATATTGATTGCATCATTAAAAAAAAAGACTCATTACAAAATGAAATTTCAATCAATCAAGAATGTATATTCTGTTTATCTTTGATTTTCCTGACTTTGTTTTATACATGGATCAATTATAACAAATTGAATATAAGAGATAAGGAAAGTGAACATAGAATAGGCTGCAATAGGGTTAATTTCATCCAACACAGCAAATTGCTACAAAACTAAAACATTAACCTGAAAATTTGAGTCATGTTCTTAAATATCCTTATCAGATCAAGACTTTCATATGGATGCCATATATGGCGCCAAACCATTCAGATATAGCTAAACTGTCAACTGTATACAACCACTTCTTAATTTTTTTTCAAGATGTCTGGCTATGAGACAGCGTGCAAGGATTGTATATATAAAAATGACTGAGCTCCGTCGAGGGTGGATATGGATGTAATAGCTTTTTAATGTTGCTACTGCCTGGCTGGCTAAATAATTTGCACAATTAATCATTCATTCACTTTTCTCTAACAACCACTGTGGCATACTAAAGAGTAGATGTGTTTTTTGTCAAGATATCTGATAATGTGATAGAGCTCAGGGAGAAATGATTTTATGCCTTTCTCAAGGGTATTGGTGTTCTCACACACACACACACACACACATTTCCTGGCCCAACCCACTTCCCAAAGCATAACCAAACATCAGAAATTATTTTTCAATACCATCTTGTTAAGCTGAGTGTTGTGGAGTTATTTCGCAGTGGAGGCTTGTATTTGTACTAATTCGGTCCTAAATAGTTCGACATACTAGGAACTTGATATAATAGGTATTACGCAGAGTAATCTTGTTGTGGTTGCTGACTACTTTTGTATTTGACTGACCCTCGTTTCTCTTACTACTCCTATTTATATTAGGTGGGAGAGTCTATTAACTATATAATAGGTGTGTTTCACCATAACACTGAGAACTCTTCAGCACTTCATTTTTCTTTTTTAATCATTTCACACCAAGCAAGGCAATAATGCCACTAAGATGCAAGAGGTTATTCAGGGTGAAAGTAAATGAGAAGACTTTAGAAGAAGGAACTGGAAACTCAATCCTAAATAGGAAACAGAGGATAAATATCTACTCCTGTTCAAAAGACAAGGAAGTAGTTATTATTTGTGAAAAATTTTTATGGAAACAGATGAAATTAACAAACAGGGGTTTTCAAAATAATGTTAATGAAAATTTTTTTTTTTGAAATTTTGAAGATGATTTTTTTAAAATATTTTTATTAATAAATTTTTTAATTAGAACTACTTTATATGAAAAAATAATCTTATTCCTATAGCGATCTTGTTAAAATATGTAATAAAAATTAAAAGAAAATGTAATTTTAGTTGTTTTTAATGAGTTGAATTCATCCAGATTTGTAACTTATAAGTAACTTATAGAAAAAAAAAGATGAGAAAATTTCCATTAATATTTCAAAGCTAATTTAATCCATAAATTTTAGCAGCGAAATGATTGCATGCTACTGATTTAGTAGGTTCCATGTCAGAAGATCAAATCAGACACGCCTCACTTAATTCTATTACATACTTGCTTTAGCAAGACAAAAATAACACAACTTTAACATAAGATTGTATGTGTATTTTTTTTTTTTTTTTTTTACAGTTTATCAACCTTTTTCAGGTTACTTAAAGCCAGAAAATATTTTTGGATTGTAAGAATATTTTGGAGAGAATAATGCTTTACTGATGCAAGTACTACTTAACCTATAGCTGGGTAGAAAAGAAGTGGATTCATATCTTTCCCAATGGTATTTGCATGTAAGTGAATATAACAAACAAATCCGGCAAAACTTGGCTCTCTGATTTCTAATTCTGAGCTGTTACCCATTACACCACCTGCACATCCAAGCTTACAGCACCTGATATTTGCAAGCAGTTACCCATCTGAGTACTGAACAGGCTTGATATTGTTTGACTTCTGTAATTGGATGGGAACCAATGTTCCAATATGATATGTCCATATGTCTGTGTGTATGTTTATGTGCAAAGACTGTTGGCAGAGTGTAAATATTGTCTTTGTAATAGGTTTTTTTTAAATTTTGATTTATTATCACTTCATATTATTTTATGCCTTTGCAAAGTCTGAGAATAACCAAACATCAGATATTATTAATACAAAATAAAAATAAAAAGCAAAACTCGTTTTCAGAATATAACATTTGAATAGCAACTTGAGTCAGACATATTATTCATGCTATGAATTTTCATTGGAGAGAAGAAAAAAAACAAGCAAACGTCAGACATACCTGCAGAGGTGCTCGAAAAGATAAATCCTCCGCATAATAGCATAACACATCCCATGGTGCATGTAATTTAATATAGTGAAGATTATTTTCCTTTTCAACCACTTCCTGCAAAAACAAAGAGGTAATAACATTTTTTGAGAAGGAAAATTTCCAAACAAATGACTTGTTATCTCTATTTTAATGATCAATTGTCTCTATTCTAATGATCTGATTATCAATTGTTCCTATTCTAATGATCTGATTATCAATTGTTCCTATTCTAATGATCTGATTATCTGTTCATACACACTTTAAAATACTGTCTCCTGTGTTTAATGTAGGTGGTTTCTTTTCTATAAGGATAATAACTTAAAAGATTTTGAATTATTTTTTTTGCACTGAGTGCTATACAGTATGTGTGTGTATATATATATATATATATATATATATATATATATATATACCAACAGTACCAAACGGCTCTAATATAGATATAGATAAAACAAAGAAACAGACACTCTCTTATGACTGGATATTGGGAGGTGATAAGGTAAGGTAATGTAATTTGATTCATGATTCCCACTTATCCTCAGAGATCCCAAGGCATTTTCCTCACACACAGTTTTGTCTTTCTTTCATTTTAACCTGAGGAAGCCAAAGAGAGCAGCTGCCCTCCTGTGAAATGTAACATTAATAAATTTTCCACTTTGTTTCATGATCTTCACATGCATAAACTTATTTTATATATATATATATATATATATATATATACATACATACACACACTGCGTGCTAAATTATTATCGAGATTACTTTTTTCTAATATTTCATAAACCGTCCAATCAATTCACACAAAATTTTCACACAATGTTGGCAAGACTGAGCTGCACAATCACCAAAATTTTCGTACTGATCTGCACAATGTAAACAAACTGGCGCCATATTTGTTATCAGCACAGTGATTTGAGTGTGCCAAATTAATAAAAAGATTTAGTAAAATTCCCAGAATTTAGCAAACAAAACGTTTATTAATGTTGCACGTGAATGTTTGTGATCAAAAGAAGCTAATAAATAAAATAATCAAACAAATAATAACAGATACAAACAAAGGCACAGTTTTAAACAAATTAATAGGGAATGTGCTTTCCCTGTTTTGAAATTACTTGGAAAAGTCGACGATCCGTAGAATTTGTTAATTGTAGGATGTCATCTGCTGTAATGCCGCGAGATATGTCAAGAATTGCTTCCCACAACTCAACGTTGCTCCTGAATTGTCGTCTGTTGGCATACAGTCTTCGATTGGGTTCAAATCCGGAGAATTTGCTGGCCACTTCATTTTTCGAGGTCCATCGAATCCTAACTGTTTCAAATATCCAGTAGTCTTGTGAGCAGCATGTGAGGGAGCATTATCTTGCATAAAAAACAATGGCCCTTCTGAAGGCAACTCTTTACCTTTTCATCCACGGTTTAAGATGCTCCTTCATAAACGCTATGTATGCATCAGCAGTCATTTTGATGCCATCTGGTACTCTCCATTGGCCCACTAATGTTTTTCCAATAATACCACCCCAGATCATTATGCCTCCACCGCCTTATTGGCGTCTCAAACGCTGATGGCGATTCTGTCTGTTCATTACCCAGCCTTTGCACCATCTATCTGGCCCATCAAGTGTTGCTCGAGTTTCATCTGTGAACAAAACTTTAGAGAAGTCAATCTTCATATTGTCCTCGGCCCATTTCAATCGATTTTGAACGTGATTTCTCATCAACAGAGGCTTCGATACAGGTTTGACTGTTGTTGCTATTTCCCTCAGATACTGACACCGAGTACTTTTAGACACAGTAGGATCCCCAATACGACTGAAAAGCCCTTGATTGGTAAAGTCCAGAGTTCTTCGTGGCCTCTTGTTTAAGTCGTGACATGAGACGACGTGAAATAACCCTCGCCTCCCTTTATATGCCCTTTTGCGTACTTGTGTAGGGTCGTCAGTAAATTTTTCACTGTTTGATGACACTTCCCTATCATTTTAAAAATTTCTAGGGTAGATTTACCTTTTGTGAATTCTGAGGTAATAGTTTTCTTTTCAGCATCACTTAAACTGCTTTTACGGCCCATCTTTTCACTAAATTCTTATACTTTTCTAATAATTTGGCACGCTCAAATCACAGTGCTGATAACAAATATGACGCCAGTTTGTTTACATTGCGCAGATCAGTACGAAAATGTCAGTGAGTGTGCAGGTCAGTGTTGTCAACATTGTGTGAAAATTTTGTGTGAATTGATTGGACAGTTTTTTGGCAAAAAATAGTTCAAAAGTTTGAGGTAACCCCTGGTAATTTTTTTAAATTGGCCTAAAATGTAGTTGTTCTGTACTTTAAATAAGAGAAAATTATTACACATGATTTTTCTTAAAAATTTTATTAGGACTAAAAGAAAAATAGTATTTTATGACTAAATTTTGCTCTCATCAAAATATCCTCCTTTTGCCTTGATTAGTGCAGCACAAATTTTGGGCATTTGTTGCAAATGTTTCTCAAAGTATAAGTCTAACAATTGATTCCATTCTTTTTTCAATGACTTTAAGAACTATTTTTTTAATTTTTTTTTCACTTTTCTGTCAAGTTCATCTCATGCTTATTCTTGGGGTGGCTTCATACTTTTGAACTATAGTGTATACTGGGGAAAATATGTATGGAAAAGTGGAAAAAGTTTTCTTGTGATGCATTTTGTCCTTTAGGGCTTCATTGGACCAAATTTTTTATGTTATTGCGACTACACATGTACATGAACAAGGGATGTTGGGAATTCTGATTTTTTTTTTTTTTTTTTAATCTAGCTGATTTCATTTAGATTCTTTTTCTTTCCATCACTTTTGTTATTAGATAATCCACATTGTGATAATAGAAATTCTGAATTTTTTTTTTATTAGATGTTCAATTAGTGACCTTTCCAAAGTTATAATTCTTTCTGCATGCCCACACTCCTCCACCATGACATGATCAGAAGTCACTTCCTCAAAGAATGACAGAGGGATTATGCTTAAATTTATCCTTATAACAGAAGTCCTCCCACTATCTGAGAAATGTCATGTATTTGGCTGCACATGATTATTTTTGGTGTTTCTTATATAGGAATAAAGTGTTGCTGCCGACACTTGAGTTTGAACATAGATTGCTAGTGAGTAAACACAGGCGACCCCATTATTGAATTAAGTAGACCACGTGACTGTAGAGGAAATGCATACAAGTAGGAAGTCTTGTGACGTCTAAATGATCACATTCCTATCCTATTCTCTATTACTATATGGATTGCTATTCTCTACTCTATTCACTATACTATTTCTCTATTCAGATCACTACATTGAACATTTCGTTGTGTATACAATTTATGTCTAACAAAAGAAACTCTTGTTAGAAACTTTCCTTTTGTTAATTTTGTTTTAATAAATAATATCTTGCATTACAAATCACTTAGCCAGTTATTTTGTGCATGTACTCTTACCACCTTTATTTCATGTACTATAAAAATGTTCCTGTAAGAAACCTTATGCATTTAATTATTGAGGTAGCTAATCAGTAAAACATCAAGCATTACAATTACAAAAACTGCTGGACTTAAAAACAATATATTCCAAAAACAACCTGGTTGACTGTTTCTTGTTGAAATACAATTTTTGTTATATAAGTGTGTGTGTGTGTGTGTGTGTGTGTAGGGGTGGGTCACCTGATGATTGTGATTGGTTGAATCTTAAGTAGTGGCCCAAAGTTTGTCTCTTTCCAAATTGTGATGCTGTGTAATTGCTCTGTCTTGGTAACTTAGACATAGATAACTTTTTATTAGTTTAGGAAGGAATCTGTCCTTTGGTTTTGTTCACCTAGTTTATATTTCATTTTCCCATTTTTTATCAGTTTTTTTTTTTGTTTTACTGGTAGTTAGTTTGCTTTGGGTCACCTGGCAGGATTTCTATTGGTTTTACCAATACTCTGGCTTTTTGTATGTATATATATATATATATATATATATATATATATATATGCACACCTTATGTATAATGGTAGGTTTTAATTCTATGGCATTAATAGTGTAAAAAAGGAAAATCAATAAACAAAAATAACTTAGGTGTCCAAAAATTTCCAATACTGTCATAAAGCAATTGTTAGAAAGTTTCTCTAAGAAAAAATTTATCTGCTCTGAATAAAAAGTGTGCAAATGTTCTTCTTTGAATTGTAAAAGTTGATTTCTTGGCAGACATTTTGTTTTGTAGAGCAGAAAAAGATAAATTTTTAAAGCAGAAAAAGATAAATTTTGAAAAATATTTTGCTCTTACCTCCTCTTTTTCAAGTCCAGCTTTAATTAAGTTTGTAATAAATTTCTTTCTGTAGGCATTAAATTGACTCATGGAAGACTGCACCCGTCCCTTTTTTTCTACATAAACCAGCACAAAATCTTGAAAGAAAAAAAGAAAAAGAACAAATTCTATGCAGTCTGTGAAAGATTACATAAAAAAAAGAATACATTGCAGTTAAGAGAATCAACTAAAATTTTAAAGAATCAGACATTTTGGAAAATAAATTTGTCAAATAGGTTTTTCAACTTAATCTTTTGACAAATTAATGCTATGTACACATTTTTCAAGGTGTTTTATATGGTTTTCATTGTGTGAAATTGTCCCCAAAACTTTCAGTTCAAATTGAAACATTCCACAATTATATGAAACATATAGCTTTGAAATCTAACCATTTTGCCTTCACTCTTCAATACCATCTGTAACAAATCCTTCAAACCATCTGGATACAGGGCTTGCTAAATTGTGCCTTGAGGGTAGATGCCTGGAAAAGTAAAGAATGTTAATAGCAATATTAGCTGTTTCCTTATCAGGAAACATTTTAACATTCATTGACCAAGCAGCCAGTGCTATTTTCAGTTGAAATTTATAACATCTTTCTCTTAAAATAATTTCCCAGGAAAATAGGTTTCTTGAATCCAGTAACAGTTATTGTTCTTTCCATTGTGATGGGGGTTTCTTTCCTCACCTTTTGTTTTAAGTAGTGTGGAATGTCAACATCTTCATTATGTCATTACTTTCTCTTCAAGTCACATATGCTAACCATTTTTGTTGTTGAAAATCCTCAAGTGATGTATTTTTTATTACTTGGTACAGTTCTTTGTTTCCGATTCTGTAGCTCCAGTCCCTGAGGTTTGTAGAAGAATGGCAATGACTGAGATCTACAGGGTTTATTTACTTGAAAACATTTTTAAAAATTCGTAGGAAATAAGTCATGTTAGCTTATGATTGGCTGCAGGTAGAAACAGCAAGTATTGATAATGAACTGTAAAACTTTTGTTAAAAATGTAAAATCTTCATAGTTGAGAAAGAATATGAAAAAATGTTTTTAATAAGCCAAACAAAACCACAATTGCAAGAATTACTTCAAATGCTGGGGTTATTTCCATCATTAGAAAAATATTAAACATACAGTTTTATTTTTATATATATATATATATATATATATATATATATATATATATATATATATATATATTTATAGATTAGTAATTTGGGGATTTTGTATAATTTTCATAATGATTCATCATGTCTGAAACTGGAATCCTCAATGCACACACATGCAGAAAAGCACTGGATGCTGTTTCATTCTTTTGGGACTCATCAGCAGTGTGCATTCTCTACTGACTCTGAGAGTTGAACCTGGACCACTCTGATATGACCCAAGCATCATACCTTTGGGTTAACGGTCTATGAGGCAAGGAGGAAACTAAGTTGACATAATATAGCACAGGTATTATGAATCAATATGATATATATGATTATTATTTTTCAATCATTTCACCCCAAGCAATGCAACAAAGTCACTAAGATGCAGAGTGTTACTGAGTTTGAAAGAATATAAGAAAAAGAAAAACATTATTAAGGAGCAAGAAGAACAATAAAAAGACAGAAGATAATGATTGACTTAGTATTTAAATTTTTTAAGGTCAAACTTAACTGGAAAGCAAGAAGCTGACAGAAATTTTTGTGAGAGAGAAGAAACTGTTAGCATAGAACTTATGGTTACATCTAGCCATTTCAACTGTAAAGTGATGAGATTTTGTGGTCAATCTAGCACTGCACTTAAATTTAGAGTCTAGAGGAAAGTTTTATATATATATATATATATATATATATATAAATAAATATGTGGTTGAATCACCTGGATATAATATATCCAGATTATTCAACCAAACATGCTTGAATGAAGATATGCTGCTTAAATATACATATATGACTGTAGTATGGATTATCTCCCCATATACATATTCTGCATTTAAGTAAGTCCAATAGGACACACTTCATTCTATGTTGAATAAAGCTTTAGTTAAGTTACATCTGCGTTTATTTTCTCAGTACAATGACAAAGTGAAAACATTTTTCATGTGACATATTTCATCACTTAGGACTTCATCAAAATAAAGTGATGTTTATGTTGATGTGATTACACATGTGCATGAAGGAGAGGGGACAATGGAATTTTTCATTTAAATTATAATTTTTTTTTTTCAATGCATTTGGGCATATAGTTTAGCCAATTTCATTTAGTACCTTTGTCTTTGTGTTTTTATCACTTTCGTTATTAAATATCTGACATAGTGATATAGACGATCTGCCAAAAAAGGTGAAGTGTTGTAAGAACCTGGATGTGAATTTTCTGTGGATGATCTTGCAATTAAAACACTTTCTATACATTTTTGATTTAATAAATATTTTCTCTTTTAATCAAAGTAGCATTTTTTTTAAATCAAAATTATGATAAAACTCTTTATGGTAAGCAAATAATGCATTGAATGTCCATATCAACCAGATATCAAATTTATAATGAGTAGTCTTACTAAAGAAAAAACATGTCTCTAGACAGAAGTCAAGCATGTATCCCCTTTTCCATCGTGTAAACTACTCCTATAGCTGAAGCATGCCATTACCAATTTGGCCAGGTGAAGCCACCATAGTAAAGCAAAGCTCAATTATCTAGTTTATGCAATACACATCTCTGGTTGGGACTTCTTAGAATCTGGCTTATGGCCACATCATATTGAAACACTGGTTCCTGTATGTTCACCAAAGTTAAGCAATCTTGAACATAGTCAGTACCTAGATGGGTGATTGCTTGGGGATATCAGGTGCTGCAACCTTGGACGTGAAGTGGGTGTAATGGATAATAGCTTGGAATTGTTTAATCAGGGAGTTGAGTTCCAATTTCCATTGGTTTCATTATATTCAGTTACACGCAAATACAGTTGGGAAACATATGAATCCACCTTTTCTTCCCCCAGCTATGGGTTAATTAGCAAGACGTGTATCTCTACACCATTATTATCTCCCAAAAATATTCTTACAACCTAAACATATTTTCTGGCTTTAAATAACCTGCAAAGGGTTGATAAGTTGTAGAAAATAATTCAATTCTTCAAATCTATATTTGCTAACTTCATTTTTGTACCTAGAATATAAAAACAATGTGTGTGTGTGTGTGTGTCTCTCTCTCTCTCTTTCTCAATATATATGTGTGTGTGTGTGTGTGTGTATGTATATGTGTAGACACACAAGCTAAATCTGACCAACAAACATCAAAATTTGAGGAGGGAATTGCTTCTGCCACAAGCTGAGAACTTTTTATATATTTATACTGTTACTGTAAACATGAACACTGACCAATGCCAGTATAAATATTCATATTGAAAATTGATACACAGGAATAATGGCAATGATAAATTTTCTGTTCTTTTTTTTGGAGGGGGTTTCACCCTATGTAAGACAGTAAAGCCACTAAGACGCAAGAGGTTACAAGGTGTGGAAGAATTAGGAACAGAAACATTAATAATGAGTGGGAAGAGAAAAGAGTAATCAGGAAGACAGTATATAGTGATTAAAATTGCATTTAAATTTTTGCAGATTAAAGTTGACTGGAAAGAAAAAAAACTGTTAGCATAGAACTTACAGCTAAATCTAGCCAACTCAACTGTAAATTGATGAAATCTAGACGCCAATCTAGTACTGCACTTAAATTCAAAAAGTCTAGGTACCACAGCAAAGAACTCATCTCGACAATTACCATGATATAATTTATAGTAAAGGTACAGAGAGGCAACCTTACGGTGGTGGGCAAGTCACTGAAGCTGAACCACCAGATCAGGACCAAAAATATTGCTGATTCTTCTTTGGATCTTATCGAGGAGCTTAAGGCAAATAGCAGGAGCACTGGACCATATGTAGCAGCAATATTCTAAGCATGGATGAATGGTAGACATAGATATATAATTCTGGAGAGAAAAATTCTCTGCCATGACACAGTGAACCAACTTTTTTAGCAGATGACCTAGCAATGGATTCACTATAGTCTTTTCCACTTCATGTCAGCTGTAAATGGCAGGGATTATAAAACAGACATTTCCTACCTATACATTTCATTCCTTCCCCTTGGATCACAAATTTATGTCAAGCAAATTTAATTAAAGTTTGTCTTATTAAACACATCAGATCACTATCAGCTATAAAGAATTCTTTTATAGTTAAAAAAATTCTTTTGTAGTTAAATGAGCTTGTATTCCTTTGACATCACTCGTACAACACCAAATACTTCCTTTTCACTCTACTGTTCTTGATTTCCCACATATGTCATCAATGTAAAAATTGCTCTGCTTCTCATTGTTTCAGCCTTCTTTTATCATACCAACAATATGGCCGACTGACCAATTAGCATTGTCGCTTTGTCCTCAGTTACCCAGTCAAATGGCATCCTTCAGTTGGAGCAATCAGCACATGAATTGATATTGGTCAAACCACACTAAGCTGTACAAAAGCCACAGTTAAGCAAAAGTTACAGAATATACACTTCTGAAATAATCTAAAGTGGGGAGGGGAGATTCATGCCATTTTCAAGGAACAAAATGCTGCTGCTACATGTCATGTATTGAGGTAAGAAACTTATTTTCCTTTGCACCAGATGCATGCCACTGACTCGCTTGCTTCTATGTAATTGTTTACTACACTGTCTTAAAAACAATAATAAATTAAATATTAATACTCAGTATTGATGTGTGTTTTCAGTTAGTTACAGTTGGGCTTCATAGCCTCTGATTGCAAAACATGGATGCTGATTACACCTAATTCTAGTGGTTTCTTTATGATGCTCAAAGAAGCATGTCTATCTTACATTTTTTTTTTTTTACAATAATGTCCACTCTGTACAAAGCTCAAGAGCCACTCAAGGTAGAAGGTTACAGAGTAAGAAGTAAGAAGCACAGTTTGATAACCAATAACCCAAAACTTGAACTGGTTAAGAGTGTGAGATCAAGGAAGCATACTCTTGGGAGTCAGTTCCACAAATTAGTGGTTCATGGGAAGAAACAGCTTGAGTGGAACTTACACCTCATCAATTGATTATGAAGAGAATGAGGGTGGAACTAAGGAATGTAGTTTGTCTGAACATTTTCCATAGAAATAGTGAGAGTAGGAGAAGGCTTGCAACATTTCATATGTGGGGAAGTGGTTCCAGAGTGCAAAATAATCACCCACAAGGACGTGGAAACACTTTTGAACTATCAAAACTGGAAAGTGTAGTGCATATAAGTCATCCAGAGAATGTTTTCCCAAAGTAATGTATTAAGAAACAGAAAAGTTTTGTTAGAAACAAAGCAAAGAGTACTGAACTGTTATGTAATATCAGTCCTCCTTTACAGTGAATGCTGGACACTCTCCTCATAGATGAAGAAGAGATTTCAGGTAGCAGAAATATGGTTCTACAGAAGGATGCTGTGAATACTGTGACACCCACTGGTGGTCGCAGTTACAGTCCAGCGCCAATATGTAACGTCCACTGGTCGCAACGTCAATATCTGATGCTGTGCCATCGGCTTGTGGTCAACTCCCTGTTGCAGCGCGAAGCTGTAAGGTTTCTTCAACCAGTGTTTGGGGTCGATTCGTTGTCACTGCCACCAGCCTGTGTCCCGGTCAATCTGGTCGTTTCCGGTTCGATACCAACTTTGTCGTTCTCAGCTCACCTCCAATACCTGGTCACCAAAGTAACTGCTTTGATCTCAAGTCTAACCTACCCACGTTGTGACTGATCTTAGGTAGATGAAATCAATTAGGCATCAGGCCATACTGCAAGCCAAATCCGGGTAAAGGTGATACCGCACAAGCGTAAGTAAAAGAAAAATAATAATACAAACTCACAAGGTTCAAATATGTTGAGAAATAACAATTAACTTTATCTATCTGTTGAATACAGGAGTGTGTTTCTCTCCCGGCCCGTTTCTATGGATTTGTGACACTTTTGCGTTTCTTAAGCGATCTATGGTATCTTAAGTCGTTCGCCAATAAAACTTGCTTTTGGTAGGAAGACTAAGTCGAAAAGGACGTGGAAATCTCAGTCAGTTCCTGTGAGGCGCTATTCTCCAAGCCCAACAGCTCTCTGTCGATTTGTGCCTGCATCTCCGATCTCCAACCCAACTCAACTCTGAATGCCCAGGGACGTTTGTTTATATGGACACTGACCAAAACCGGGTTGGGGCCTGTCGTGGTTTGGGTTCTTTGACAATTCTTAATTCCCAACCAAAAATTTTCTTTGTCCCCAGGACAGGAAAATTTATTACTTCCCATTTTTGGAAGCTAATCACTTTCCCTTTCGGGGTTTTTCTCCCTTGCCCGTGAGGAGAGGTCAGAGGAGAATTATCCTCCTAGACTCTTCCTTTCTCATATTGGTATCTCATACCAATCCTCTTAGTGGGTGTCAACAACTTCCCTGCCTTTCTCATACATTCACCTTCGCCTATCACTCACGCCACCACTCAGCCAGTGATTGCTCGGTAGCGTGGGTGTGGCTAGATTTGGCCTTCTTAAAATTATCATCCAGAAAGAAAAATTCTCTTTTCTTTTATCGGCCAGAATTCTTATGAATTCCACGTGGCCATAATTAAATTTTTATCTTATCCTGAGCCACCCAAAATCCACTTAGCAGAATCTTCACCGACTCATTAATCACTGCTAGTCAACCTTCAAACTGGGTGGTAGTTTTTACTTGATAAACAAATTCTTTATTTTTCTTGTGTCTTAAAATTTTTGCGTCACCAGATGCTCATTTTCAAGTCACCATGTCTGACAATAACAATGATTCTCTTCTCGACTCTTTTCTCATGTCAAGATCTGGACATACAACAGATGGGTCTCCTTGCTGGACACAAGAACCAAAACTAAATGATATCTCTGAAAGATAATTAGTGGCTATTCTTTTAGGGTGGTCTCACTGAAATTCCTTTTCAGTCGAATGCGTGGCCCAGCTTTGTTTATCTTTTAGAATTCCGTTTTCCTTGTCACGTCACTATCTGATCATGACATTAATTAATTCTGACAGAATCTGAAATCTGATTTTCTCTTAAGGATTTTCTGTCTTCTGCGAAAAAAAGTATCTTTCCTCATAAATGAAATAAAATCTTTTCTCATTCGTTTTTTTTTTGTTAAAAAAATGTCACTCGGTCTGTCTTTTGTTATAGCTCTTTCTTGCCTTAAGTATTTCCCGTTTTAATTTCTATGCTTAATTAGTTAGCCAATTACCATAGCTAGATAGTGTCACAATACCATGCATTGAACACGTGAGCAACAAAGTTTTAGAAAAAAAAAATGGAAACAAAAAGGACCCTTATAACTTGAATCAGAGATAGTTGAAATTTCTAGAGCACATAATGAGGAAAATGGGTTTGAAAAATTTGATACTCACAGGACATATTGAAGGCAAGAGAGGTAGGGGAAAACAATGCATAACCTACCTAGCAAGCCTGAGTAAATAGATGGTAAAACAGATTTCAGGAGAGATGACAAAAAAAAATTTATTAAAAGTTACAAAGAACGGGAAATTGTCAAGAGCCATAATTGGCATATAAAAGAAGAATTCAATTTGAATTCAAATCATATTACAATGAATTCACTATGAATGCATTAAAATCACATTAGAATGGATGTTTTTATATTTTAATAACAAAATGTTCCATGTAACTAATTTCTATATAGAAACTAGAATTACTACTGCTATGAATTACAGTAGATCCTTGATTATCAACCACAATCCATTCCAGAAAGTCAGCTGAAAACAGAAATACACAAAAACCGAGGTAATAATCCCATAAGAAATAATGTAAATCCAATTAATTCATTCCACACACCCAAAAATATTAACAAAAAAAATACATTTTATACAGAATAACTATAGTTATTCATGCAGAAAATAAGAAATAAATATAAATAACAAATGGAAAAATGAACATTTAACTTCACTTTACCTTTATTGAAGACTCTTGTTGGCAAATGTAAGACAGTGAGGAGGGGAGAGGAAGAAGAGATGTTTGAAAGGGGAATCCCTCTCCATTAAGACTTCAGGTAAATTTCTTTCTGTGGTTATTTCCTTTGTCTCTTTGTGCCACTACAACCTGCTTAAGATTGACTGAATCTCTCTCTCACTAAAAACCTATCCAGAGATTTTTTATTTCTGCTTTAAAATTTGCTTGAAATATGATAAGGCATTATCACGAAACATGTTTACAACACGTCTTGCAACAACTTTGTTAGAGTGATATTTTTCAACAAAACTTTGCACATCACCCTATGTCTTCCGTTTTGCCAGGGATATCACTGATGTGCTAACGGCCATCACTAAATATGTATATCAAGTCCTTAATAATAATGGTGACACTCAACCTGTGGCTCTAAATGTCTTGATGTTTGACAAGGTTTGGCATACTGATCTTCTACGTAAGCTCTGAGTCTTCTACCCCAATAGGATGATAATGAGGAGGAAACACACGGGTAATTTTAACAAAACAAGATAAGGAATGTATTCACAAATTTACATGCTTGAAGTAGCATCAGTAGTTAATTTCAGGAAAATAAATCAGAATTCTGAGAGTCAGTAGTTTTTGTCATGAAGAGGAAATGTTCATACAACAGATTACACAAAATAATAGTAAAAATTGTTTAAGACAATGTTAAGAGAGTTCATTGCTTGGTGAAGGGATATATGGTTTGCTCATGTTCAAAAGTAAATGAAGAAGGTTAGAAATTTCTTTCTTTGATTGCTGAGAGAAAATCCTTTGAAGTGGCATGTATTGTTAGATGCCGATAATATATTGGTGAGTAATTTTAAAATGGCAACAACTTCAACACAGGCCACAGGGAACTGACCAAAACCTTTCATGTGACTTCAGACACTCATCTCTCCTTAATTTTTTTCCACATTTTATATAAAAACAATTTTGTGTAGGCTCACTATTTTCTTTTCTTCCTAAGCTGACCGGCTAATTTCTGTGAAGACAAGGTTTTCATTGGTCAAAAAAATTTCACATAAGCTTGCAAATTTCTTTTTTTCTTTAATCTTTAAGGGAGTGGGTGAAAGGACTTATTATTTCGCACTCACTACAACCTCACTCCTTTTGAAAAAAATGTTCTTAATCACTGAAGAAGGCACATTATCCCTTCTCTCCTCCTCTGAAGCTATCTCCTCAGCTGTTGTTTGTTGCTGCTCCAGCTTAAGTTTAGAATTAATTGCATAGGCTTGTGTACTGGCATTGCCTTTTCCTCCTGCATAATATAGGTTCTATCTGGCATTTTGTTTTTTTTTTTTTCAAAAGAAGCCTGTCTCATCACATTTGAACATTTTTTGGGGGAAAGAATCCCTCAGCCTCCATGTAATGCTTGAATTCAATCATGAATTCTTCAGTTCCATATTTGTCTAAACAGTACAAACAGCACCTAGCAGTCATTAGGAAAAGTACCCTGGCAGAAAAGATAAGGTAATCCTAAACTATGTTTGTAAACATCCAATAGGTCACACACTCAGTTTTTCACTGACCAGATGAATCAGCTCTTGTCATGTCTCAATTCTTGTTTGCGTTAGTGTGAACACAAACTGGAAAAGACTCGTTGCGACAACTTCTGCTACTTGTCTGACATAACAAACTAACAGATCAGTTTTTCTCTTCAGCAAAGACTCTCCTCCACCTCCTCGCCCACCTTATAATGCATGGTTTGTAACTTGCCTACTCTAATGGAAAGTCCAGAACTCTTTCCAGTGGTCAGTAATTACCAGGCAACATCAGAACTGTTTTCTATTCTAAACTGTGACTGTTTATATATGCCTGCAAGTGGAATTTTCTAACTTCCAACCAAGTGACACTTGTTCTCTAAAATTTTCATTTATTTTTATTCACTTTTGGTCAACTGGGTGGCTGCTTGAAGATCTTACTTCATAGACTTTACTACTGGTTGCAAAATCACAAGAATCATAAAATTATTTAGGGTTCCCTTGACTTCATGTGTGTTCTATTGATATCTGGGTTCTGTTTTGTCACGTGAACTCTTTTATCAATCATTGCTTCATCATAAATATAAACAGATTTCTGATAATAAACAATATTAATCAAATATTTATTATTAAATAATTGTTCTGGTCACCACGTCTATTTTATACAGAAACAGGTAACAATAAATTTACATTTTTATATTAGCATAAGACCATACCTGTTTTTCTCTGCCCATCTTTGAAGAAGCAGCCTGTACCTGGTGGTGTATTTTTCTTGGAAGGGACAAAGCTATCAACGGAAATCTCATCAGATTCCTGGAAATTAAGAAACAGAGAAACATAATTGAAACAACGAATTGCATTTGGTCTGTATTAGGAAAAAATCTTTGGTGAAAATGGTAGCTTTTGTAAAGCTGAATGAAACAATTTAAAATTTTCTTTTTGCTTTAAGATATAATTATCTAATTTTTCCAGCTATAAGATAAATTTTCATGATGGGTTGATGAAAACTATGAGGTTGATTAATGAAGAGTTTGAAAATGTAGGGGCGTTATATCATAAAACTTTGTGCCCTCTTTTTAGACATTACAATTATTTGTTTTTTTTCTCTCAATTTCTGGGGCGTAGGGGGTAGGGAATTTTCTTCAAGAGATTAATATTTTACTCTTGACTTCAAAGAAAAAAATTATTTTTCATTCCAGGAATTTTTTTTTTTTTTTTTATCAGATAATTCTTTTATCCAACCGCACACTGGTTTTTCAATCTAGAAAAATTACATTTTGGTTTAGCATCAAACTTTTGGATCATGTAAAGATGTGCAGAAAGGGTAATTTATAAGAGCAAAAAGGGGAATTGGTGAGCCATGTTCAAATTCTGGCCTAGGCTGTTGCATTCACTGTTGTACTGATGCCCTTTGGAAAGACATGAATCTGTCTATTCTCTCTCAAGCTATGGGTTAAATAGCAGAGTAGACTAGATTCTCTAGCCTTGGGTAGCTGCCAGTCAGGAGAATTCACAAGCAATGGGAAATCTCGCCATAATCTTTCCCAAGAAGTCATGCCAATTCACAGATAATAAAGAAAAGAAATCTGTAGAGAAGGCAATGGGAAACTGCATTCCTATCTTTCCCAAGAAGTCATGCCACTTTACAAATAATAAAAGAAAAGGAATCTTTGAAGAAGGCAATGAGAAACCACATCACTATCTTTCCCAAGAAGTTGTGGCAATTCACAGATAATAAAGAAAAGGAATCTGTGGAGAAGGAAATAGGAAACCACTCCACTATCTTTCCCAAGAAGTCATGGCAATTGACAGAGAATAAAGAAAAGGAATCTGTGGTGAGATATGTTCATCTGTGTCCTGAAGAGACATGACATTAAAATAATAAAAATAAATTTAAAAAAGAAAACAAAAGTAAAATAAAACTGAAGTTAGAAAAACTGAATTATTTTTTTTTATAGGCATAGAATTTTGAATAGAGAAACTAAAAATTGATTAGTGTTGATATGAAGAAGATAACGTTGCCTCTTACAAAAATTGGATTCGTTTGCCTGAAGGACTCCTTTTCTCTTTTTTGTTTTCCTTGTTTCTCCATAATGCACTCAGCTGTAAGAGGAATGCAACTTTGACCTGTAAAGCAATGTTCAGCAGTGAGTGCAAATGTGAGCGAAAGCTCATTTCTAAGTGCGTGGCAAGATTAAGCAAGAAGCACAAAGTGACATTCAGTGGCAAAAGAGATGGTGAAAGGTAACATCAGGCCTTCTCTATATAAATGACAAGGACTTGACTATTAAATGCTAAACTACATTCCAAGAAAACATTTGATATCTGGCTGCAAATTTACACTTTAAGTAAATGCTGAGTACAATTCACATTAGATTTTAACAATTAATTTAGCCATGCATAAACGTGAAAGAAGATTTTTGCACTGACTGGAGCTACTGTCTATAAAGCAGTAAGATGTTGAATTCTTTCAGAGCACTTAAGTTTACATCACCGACAACACTGGTAAGCAGCAACTATTCAAACTAGTATCCTTGTCGCTGTTTATAATGCAATGCTTCTGCCAATGAATTCACCAACCATCTTCAGGCGAATGTTGCTGCATCCTCTAATCTTTTAATCACACCCAAGGTTATCTTTTTTTTTTTTTTTTTTAAATCTCATTATTATCAAAGTTTTACCATCACCTCAGTTAAGATAGATTACATATGCAAATCCAAGCAATGGTGATTTTATATTGTAAATTGTTTTCATTGAAATGATTTTATAAATTTAAAAAAAAAAAATGAGGGCTTGAGTGAAATTTAAAGATTACCAGATGAAACATGCTAGATTTGACACCTGAAGATGGTTTGAAAATGCAGTGTGAATTCTACTTTGAATTCAGTCACAATTCTTCATTTAGACAACGTTGGGAAATATGCAATTACAGAAGTGTACAAGAAAATTATAAGAGAACATGAAGCCAATAGTGCAATTTTCTTTTGTTTCTTGAGAAGCTGAAGACTGAGAATTATAATAGGAAACATGAAGCCAATAGACCAATTTTCTTTTGTTTCTTCAGAAGATGACTGATTCAGATTACAGTAAAATATGACACAAATTGTTATGTTGTTAAAAAAATAGTAACAAAAATGTCATTAGCTAAAAATCCAAAATTATTAATGCATTATTTTGGATACTCCCCAAAACCCTAATGGATTCAATTGATGATAGAAATAAATGTATAATGGTTCTGGCTTATTGCACTAATATTTACATTAGTGACACACCCACTAGATTAAAAGTTAATCCCCCCCACCTCAAAAAGGAAAAATAGTCCCATCAAGTAGTTAAGTTAAAAAATAGAAACAAGTTTTTTTTTTTTCTTTTTTTGTTAGAGATCAACTAAGATCCAGAATCCAATGAAACATAATACAACAGACAGCATTTATTATTTTCTCTTCATTAATCTTCTAAAAAATTATGCTTTTCTTCAGTGCTAGCAAAATTATAATTTTGCAATAACCAACTGATATATGGGGAGCTACTGAAAACTTTGTAGAATTTGATGATAGTTAACTTCTTTACATCTTATTAAGAACATAACAAGCATACTTGTAACTAAATGGTTCATGGTAAAATAATGCATGTTATTAATCACCACAGAGAACCTTCCCTGCCCCCCCATTAGAATGTCTGATGCTCAACTTCCTGAAAGCGCCTCTCTGTGGCTGCTCGGTCTCACATCGTCTACTGACCTGAGATGGAACAAATACATTGAGTCAATTGCTTCGTCCACTGCTAGGAAAGTTGGCTCCCTGTGCTGCACCAGGAAATTTTTCTCCCTGGAATTGATCCTTCAAATCAACCATTCGCCCTTGCATGGAGTATTGCTGCCATATATGGTCTGGAGCCCCTTCTGTTTGCTTCGGGGTTCTTGATAAGATCCAGAGACGGATATGCAATATAATTGGCCCTGATCTGGCATCTCATCTGCAGTCGCTCTCTCACAGACGTGCTGTCACCTCTCTGTCTTTTTTACAAATACTTTCATGGTAATTGCTGTGATGAACTGTTTTCATTGGTTCCAAGACTTCGCGAATTTAAGCATCCTACAAGGCTGGCATTCCACTCTCACCCTTTCACTGCCGAAATGTATATAAACAAACTATATTCAGATGTAAAAGTCACTGTTTGCAAAGGGAGGGCTGTAAAGACTTAATCTGTATTGCCTCTTTTCAATTTGTCATCTATAGTAACTATAAGATTTTCTTTCTTTTGTTTTCTTCTTGCTCTTTGTTTTAAAACACATTAAAATAAAAATAAAAAATCAAAAGAATTTTTTGAATCAGAATTCAGATCAAATACACAAGAAAATGTTATATTTTAGAAGCCTGATTGCTATATCACACTTGAGCATGTAAGTGTCTTGGCAAAAGTAAACAGTCTCCAAAACAAATAATCTTTAGATATTCTGGCCTTCAGTATTTGCTTGCCTTCTTTGTTTTTTTGTTGTTCATTCCTCCTGATTATATTGAGTTTTTTTTTTTATCATTTCACCCCTAAGACATCTTCCAGAGCTGGAATGAATACATTGGAGAACTCTTCCATGATGAAAAATGACAACCAGCAATACACAGAAATATCAAAAGGCCAGAAATATTAAAATCTAAATTGAAATCAGCACTGTTCAAATTGAACAAGCACAAAGCAGCAGGAACAGATATAATTGTAAGAGATGCTGGAAGCTTTAGATGATTTGGGCATTGACAAAATTACAGGCATAATAAATGAAAATTATAACAATGGTGTTATACTTGAAGATCTAAGTAGATCCATTGTCATAGCACTGCCTAAGAATCCAGGGACAAACAAAAACAAATCTCAATGGACAACCAGCCTAATGAGCCACATAATAAAACTTATCTGAATTTTGATGAATAGAGCATGCAGCAGAATTAGACCAAAATAGAACATAATAAGACACTGATACAAGGAATGCAATATATATGTTGAGAATTATATCAAAAAGAGCAATAAAAATGCAACAAGATGTATACCTACATTTCATAGATTATGTAAAAGTGTTATAAAGTGCATCATAATGAATAGTTGGAACTGCTTGGTAAGCTTGATTTATTTGGGAAAGATATTAGAATTATCCAGAATTTATACTAGGAGAAAACCACCTGCATATGGATAGAAAATGAATTCAGTAAATATAAAAAAATACGAAGGGAAATATGACAAAGCTGTGTCTTAACAGATTTGTCAAGCGTTACAGTGAAGCAATCCCAAGAGAATTAGAAGTCCTACCTTTGTCTTTATGTGCCATGACCCCTCGGGATGTAAGTGATTATGGCTTTCCACAGTTTTCTATCCCTTTGTAACTCTTAATAAACTTTGCTTTTCTGTTAGTTCTCATAATCCTTGTTTCACCATCCATTTACTCAAGCTTATTAAGTATGATATGCATCGTTTTCCTCCGTCCCTCATGTCCCAAGAGTATCAGATTTTCCAAGCCCTCCTTCCTCATTATATGCCCTAAAAGCAGAAGTCCTACCAGGATTCATTATTACAGCCATAATCTTAACAGCATAAGATATGCAGATGATACAGTGTTGATAGCAGACATAGAAAGGAAACTACAAGAACTCCACCAGAATGTACTGAAGGAAAGGGAGAAGAAAAGACTAAACATCAATTGTAAGAAGAAAGAATGTATGGTTGTCAGCAAAAGAAACAGTCCAACATGCAAATTACAAATTCAAGATACTAAAATCAAGTGCAACAATTTAAGAGGATGGAAAAATGAGACATTGAAATCTGAAGGTACATTGGAATAACAATTGATGCCTTCTAAATGCTAAGGATTAACAAATAGGAAAATTTCATTAGAAACAAAGAAAGGAGTATTGAACTATTATACAATATCAGTTCTCCTGTATGGAACTGAATGCTGAACAATCTCCTCATGGATGAAGAAGAAACTTGAAGAAACAGAAATGTGGTTCTACAGAAGGATGATGAGAATGCCATGGACTGAACATGTGAGCACCAATTAAACTTTGGAGAAAATGGAAAGAAAACGGACACTTATACTTAACATCAAAAAGAGATAGTTGAAATTTCAAGGCACATAATGAGGAAAGAGAGCCTAGAAAATTTGATACTCAGAGGGCATATTGAAGGCTAGAGAGACAGAGGAAAGCAGCACATAACCTACCAAGCAAACTTGTGTGGATGGTTGGCAGAACAGGGATTAGGAGAGATAGCAAAAAAAAAAAATAGGAAATTGTGGTGTGCCATGATTGCCCACGTACTGAAGGAACACAGCATGTAGAAGAAATAAGTGTCTATAGTTTATTGAATTTTAGACACATTTATATTATTGTAATATTCAAAATTTGGCAACATTAGACCTTCATGCTTGTAAAATATGGAGTGTCAAAAGGACAGTTTTTCCCTTGACACTGCTATTATTTTAACTAACGTCACTCCTCGGCAATGTTTATTGTTTTAAAAAGTGATGATTAGAATTGTAATAAAACTTAAATACATGAAGAATTTATACATATTTTTATTCTTGAGAATTGACAACAAAAATATTAAGCACTAATAGATTGTTTATTTACAAGAATTTTATATTTACAAAATTCTAAAAACTAATACAATTGCATTAAAACTAATGCAATATTTATCATTTATCAATTTATAATGAAATAAATATGAAAACAAATTTTTATTCATAAATTTATAAACATTCACTAAATTTTTTAAATATATGAACCAACTATAAGGAAATCCTTATTTACCATTTTATAAAATTTGAATCAATTGGCAATTAGCTAATGTTCTGACTATCATTCCAATAAATAATAATAGTGTAAATAAACAATCTAATGAAGTGGAGAACGAAAGGGTATATGTCTTTAATGTAGCAAGTGCGTTTAGTTGTCTAAAATTGCCAACTAGTCATGCAAATGTATTTAATTTCTGGATATGTTATGATGATCGGAAAATGGATTAAATTTATTTATTGATTCTCATTTTGGTTGATTTTCTATCTGATTATATACACATCTATAGATCCACTTCAGGAAGGGCACTTTGATTCTCAATGGCTTGTGGCCTTATATCTTAGTTGTAAAAGCTTTCCAATTGGTTTGTTGAACTATTTTAGAAGTAGTGAAAATTTTGGACTCCGTGTTATAATAAGCATATGGTAGCAAGGAAAAAGACAAACACCAGAGTAAAGTTGAATATGTATTTTTAAGAAAAAAAAAAAAAAAAAACATCAAGGAAAGTTATATACACAACGGTAACCAGGGGTCAATACAGAAAATAAGAGTCCATTCAACAAAGAGTTCTGTGATTTTTATGATTGAAGTTGTTTGGATGAAAAGTTGGAATGGGAAGATGGCAGAATGATGCTCAAGTTTCAGTTTCATGTGAGTGGTGCAGAAGGGAAGTCTGAAAGTAATAGTGGCAGATGGCAGGACAGCCTGGCTGTCAAGAGGATACATTCTTGTGGGACAAGTTGAGCAAAGAAGCCACTGGTGAGATGAGAATGCCTTTTTTGTGGCATGTGGCTTGTTAATGGATTGAAAAGACATCCATGTCTTTGGTTTGCAATGCCTTCCAAAGCTTAATTGCTTGTCACGTGACTGCTTGCCACTACATCTGCCAGTCAGTGACCTCAAGATGACCTGCAGGCCATTCTGGTTTCTGACCATGAAGAAGGGTTCATGAATTGCAATGAGATTTGGCTTGGAGTATAACATTGTTATTATTTGTTTATTTCTTTTCTTATATTCTGGTTGTGAATGCTTTCTGATTGGTTTG